TTATAAATTAAACATAATATAACACGTTATATTATAACATTATGTATTATATATAATATATTATAACATATGCTATATTATAACATTATATATTATATACTATAATATGCTATATTATAACTCTATATATTATGTATAATATGACATCTTATAATATTATAAGTTATAACATTATACATTATAGATTATACATAATATATTATAATATATATTATAATATATAGTGTTATAATATAACATTATATATTGTAACATATGCTATATTATAACATTATATATTATAATATTATATATATATAAAACTCATATTATCACAATATATTATTGCATTACATATGTTATAACGTTATATTATATTATCATATTATAACATTATTAATATAATATTATTAATTATGAATAAAGGCGAAAGCTACACGGCATAGAAAGACATCTTTGATTAAGAGAATATCAAATATATGTTTGATTCATAAGTAAAGATATTGTACCCTCCGGCGGGTTACTAGACGAAATATAATTATTGCTAAAAATAACGTTTTAATTAAGAAAAAAATATGTCGGATTAAAAAATAAAAATCAATTTATTCCTTATATATTCACGGTCAAGCTTCTTGGCATCCGTATTAAAGGAAGAGATAAAATTACCATTTGATACATATTCATTTATTCCGTGTACCTTCGACATTAGCACAATACTTTCATCATTTTCAACGACAAAATTGTTGTGTTCATCTGATTGTTAATTTTTTTGAACTATGAAGTGGAAAACGCTAAGCTCATGTACTGTACGGTTTAAATTCCACGTTTAAAATCTCAGGGGAGGTAACTAAGTTATATATGTTCATATGTTTTTCTTTTTTATAAACTAGTAGTTAAAACCTACATATGTTAAACTATTATCAGTCTGTTATGTGCCATGTCCAAAAGCAAGGCCTCTGATCAGGATGATTTGAGGAGCGTCTAAATTGCTGGTGTTCCCGTGTCCATCCTGACCTGGGATGGTAGCACCTGTTAGGGTCCAAACTATGGGCAAATATTTAACCCCCAGACAGGAGACATAGCACTGTAAAAATAGGTTTTAATACCAGCAATAAAATTATTGAGAAAAAATTACTACCAGCAATACATTTTTGAAGAAAAAAATAATACCATCAATATATTACGAAAGAAAAATTTTAGCAGCAATACATTTTTGAAAAAAAAAATATTAACAACAATTTATTTTTGAAAAAAAAAAAGAATACCAGCCATAAAAATCTTGTCGGCATTAAATAAGCCATTGAGGTTGGGATGCCGTAAAAAACAAAACAAAAAAAAAAACAAATTAATAGATAGATAGATAGATAGATAGATAGATAGATAGATAGATGAATAGATAAAAAATTATTACCAGCAATAAAAATCTTGGCGGTATTAAATAACCCATTGATGCTGATATGCCGTAAAACAAAACAAGCAAAACTAGTATATACTGAGATAGATAGATAGATAGATAGATAGATAGATAGATAGATAGATAGATAGATAGATAGACAGAAAAATAATAATAAGTAATAAAAATCATGTCGGCATTAAATAACCCATTGAGTTAGGGATGCCGTAATATAAACCAAACCAAACCAATCCAAACCGTCAAGCAAAACAAATCAATCAATCAATTCTGTAAAGTCATTGATTTTCAGAATAGCATCTGGCATAAGGAATATTCCTCATAAAAAATTGACAGGTACTGGAATTATGGTGAGATTTTCAGTTCTATAAATCTACGCAAAGTTTATAAATCTACGCAAACTATTTGAGCCAAGGAACGCAGGTTTTGCTGACGTTTTTCCCTATTTCTGCTGACGTTGTTATCATTTTCTTTCTTTTTCCTTTTTGTACATATTTTCTACTGATGTCCTCATTTTCGCCTGTTATTTTATTCGATTGCACACCCCGGGCCAAATGGTGGAGATTCAATCACTTATTCATGTACTTAGTGTTACAGGGGAATCGTTCAAGAATTGAAAGCTTTTGTTCTTTTGTCTTCTTGGCGATATTATTCTGCATTTTCACTTGTTTATTTCTGGTTCTTCTACGGCTGTCTTCCGAATGAAGAAGCCATCACATTACTGGAGAGAAGAAAAGCAGGGAAGAAAACGAAAAGACATTTAAAAAGCAAAAAAAAAAAAAGACAAAATCCAACGTGATGTAGTGCTCGCCTTAAGCCATTTACACTGCATCCTTCGTTGTCAAAAAGACAAAACAAACAGTAAAATGTAATTTGCATGTATTGCTTTTGTGATCTCTTCTTCAATTTGGGTATTCGACTAAAAGAAAAAAAAAAGAAAGAAATGAAATCAAAGCAACAAAACACACAAAAATAAAACGCTATCTTATGTGAGATCGATAATTTTCACTGGCTTACAAAAGTAAGAAAATAATAAATGCAATAACGTTGCTTGACCATATAACATCGCAGCGCGTGTGCAGAAATAAGTCCGTTTTACACATGGCCGAATGAATGAAAAGTACACAAACAATGCACAGGATTTATGTCTGCGAAAAAACAATAAAATATAATTTGCATGTATTGCATCTGTGATCATTTCATCCATTTAAGCATTCAACTAAAGAAAAAATGTCAAAGTAACAGAACATACAAAAATAAAACGCTTTGGCATCAATAATTTTCAATGGCTTCCAAAAGTTAGAAAATAGTGATAAAACCTTAAAACGTTTCTTGACCACCTAAGGTCATAGTAGGTGTGTAAAAGAATATGTATGTTTTGATATTTGTAGAATGAACGAAAAACACATAATCAAGTCACAGGATTTATGTATACGTATGACTTAGTGGCGTTCAAAATTATAACCTGATATAATGAATATGCATATACCTGGGTTCTCCCTCACAGTGGTGTCAGCCATAAATACAGATTGATATGGAGGTACATGGACTACGCCTATGGACTACACATATTGGCTACCCCTATTGTCTTCGCCTATTGCCTACGCCTATTGTCTACGAATACGACGAGGACCAGTCCATTACGGCTACCTGCTAGATTGCCCTACCCGGTTACAGCAGTCAACAACCACTTTGCTACTTCGAACAAATATATCCCTTTTCAGGGACATATCATAACCTATCAAGAATGATCAGCTAGCCAGAGATTTTGTTGCAATTAACGGTAAAAATAGCAAAAAATGCAAAAGATATCCCTGGGGTCCTATCGATTTATAATATGGCCAGTATTAATATATAATCAAACAAAATGGGTTCTTTGTGTAACTGAAGAAAATGTCTGATGCATTGCTCTTCTTACCCATTTACTTTACAACCTACATCTCGAATTATCTGGGAACGATCAATCAAGTTGAAATACGTCACTTTCTCTTTTAAATCAATTGTATTTATCGTAGACACCATGCTAAAAACGTTAGCGGATTTGTGGCTAGCTGATTGATATTTCATAATGTAACTTGTTAGACGTTACGTAATCGCAGCTATGCATAGATCACCTTATTCCATTACATACTTTTTCATCATTCAGTCATGTATAAGAGAGACTTGCACTTTTTGACGAACAAATTTAATTCACGGGACTATGTCACTGTTTTAATATTTAGTCTTTGTTTATATAAGCTTTTCAGATTTATTTTATTTATATCTGAATATTCACAGACAGACACACACACAGACATATATAGAGAGAGAGTGAGAGATAGATAGAGAGAGAGAGAGAGAGGGGGGCACGGTGGAGTAATGGATGGCGGCTTGGGTTGAGGAATCGCAGAGCCGAGTTCGAATTCCAGTCGAATCCATTACATTCAACATTCACTTACGTGCTAATACCCTTGGGAAAAGTATGAAATCCTCTTCCTCTCCCTCTAGCTATGGGTAAAATAGCAGGACAGACTGGGTTCTATATCCTTGGATGGCAACTTGTCTAGGAGAAGGACAACTCTGAATTCAAAACCTGTGGAGGGTCGTTTGGGAACCTTGTGGCATTCGGTGCACCAGGTCCCTGTATTCGTCCCTTCAAAAAGTGTGGATGGTCCTGCACGAAACCTTCACCACTATAATCAAATCTCATGTGCCGGTGTCGGGCTGTCGGTTTCCTGGAAACTGATCTGCTTGACCCTCATACGTCGAATCTCGACAGGAGAGTCGACTACTATATATATATATATATATATATATATATATATATATATATATGTATATGAAGAAATATAGTCTTAAGATGCACTATATTTATGAGATAAAGTGCTCAATATCAGAGATAGAGCATGTAAATATAAAAGTGAACATAGAAGTAAACACTTAGAGCGACAGTCTGTTTCATGCTAGATGCAATCGTCAGGCTACATATATATATATATATATATATATATATATATATATATATGTAAAGCAAATGTAAATGGATATAGATCCGACAGAATGAAGAAGAATTTGGAAAAAACAAAAATCCTTAAATGCAATTATGTTGTTTGACATTTCATTCATTTTAAACAACATATAGATAGATAACAACAGAATCTTATATATATCTATATAGATAGATAGATATCAACAGAATCAGATAAATACATTGATATCATCTGAATCAGATATATAGATAGATAACAACTGAATCCTATATAAATATATATATATATATATATATATATATATATAGATAGATAGATAGATAGATAGATAGACATCAACTAAATCAGATCGATAGATGGAGATATCAGCTATATCAGGTAGATAGATACATATCAACTATATCAGATAGAGGATTTCGACAAAATCAGATACATAGCTAGATACCAACTATTCCATATGAAATGAATCAGGGAAATAAATAGATATCAATATATATCAGATGATAGTTCGATCTCAAATAAATCAAATAGATTGAGATAAAGTAAATCAGATAGATATCAACTACACCAGATAGATAGATAGATAGATAGATAGATAGATAGATAGATAGATAGATCACATGTACTGACTGAAATAGATATCAGCAGGTTGAGATAGATAGATAGATAGATAGATAGATAGATAGATAGATAGATAGATAGATATCAACTACACCACATAGATAGATGACAATCAACTGAATCAAATAGATAGATAGATAGGTAGATAGGTAGATAGATAGATATGTATCAACTAAAACAGCTAGCTAGATAGATGGATATCAACAGAATCAGATAGATAGATAGATAGATAGATAGATAGATAGATAGATAGATAGATAGATAGATAGATAGATCGATCACATGTACTGACTGAAATAGATATCCAGCAGGTTGAGATAGATAGATAGATAGATAGATAGATAGATAGATAGATAGATATCAACTACACCACATAGATGACAACCAACTGAATCAAATAGATAGATAGATAGATAGATAGATAGATAGATAGATAGATAGATAGATAGATAGATAAACGAATCAGGTAGCCGGATAGGTACTGATCACGATGACCCCGAGGACTATCATGTAATAATGAACAAAGTGAGAATATTATTAAAGGAACGAAATATATAACAATATAAAAAAGAATCGAATAAAAAAGGACAACTGTGTGCGATCGAAAAAATGAAGCGGAAATGGACGCGAAAAGAGAAATAAAAAAGAAAAAAAATATGAGGTAAAGAAGAAGAACCAATTGAATAAGCAATAGTAGAATCCAGCGAATAGATTCTTTTTTTTCGTTTTTTTTTTTTTTTCAAACATAATTAGAAATATAAAATTATATAAAATATGCAACATAGAAGAAGAAAAATAGTTGGGTTATTCTTTCCGTAACATGAAGTGGCGTGTTGGTTTTTGTTTTTTGTTTTTTTTTACTGTGACAAGGCTTTAGTGGAGAAACAATAGCAGAATGAATAAGAAAGTAAGACTCATCGGATTTATTTTAATTGGTTGAGAAGTTGCTGGGAAGAGGAAATATGTGACAAAGTTATTTACAATGCGATCAGAAAGAAGAGGAAAAAGAAGAAATAAATGGAAGCAAAATGGGTCATTCGTAAAGAAGAAGACGAAGGAAGAGTATAAAAAGAAGAGGAGGGGTTGTTTTTATAAAGAAAATAATAAGTTCACTGTGACATGAGAGAATGAATGAATGAAAAAGAAGAAGAAGAAGAAGAAGAAGAAGAAGAAAGAAAGAAAGAAGACAAGGAAAGAAGAGAGATTTTGGTTTTATAGAGAAAGTAATAAGTTCACTGTGATATGAGAGAATGAATGAATGAAGAAGAAGAAGAAAAAGAAAAAGAAGAAGAATTAAAGAAGACGAGGAAAGAAGCGATATTTTGGTTTTATAGAGAAAGTAATAAGTTCCCTGTGACAAGAGGGAATAAAGAAAAAGAGGAAGTAGAAGAAGAAGAAGAAGAGGAGGAAGAAGAAGAAGTAGAAGAAGAAGAAGAAGAAGATGATGATGATGATGATGAAGAAGAAAAAGAAGTAAAATAAGAAGATAAAATAATGCGAGGAAGGAATAGTTACTTTGATTTTATAAAGTAATACCTCCACAGTGACACGAGTGAATGAAGAAGAAGTTCAAGATGAAGAAGAATAATAGGAGGAAAAAGTGTAATTTTGTAAGACTTATTTTTGTAAGAAAGTAATATATTCACATTGACACGTGCGAAGGAAGAAGAAGAAGATGATAATGATGATGATGAAGATGAAGAAGAAGAAGAATCTCTGATTTTATTTTCAGCGAGTGTGAAAAAAAAAATCGAAAACGAAGAACAAGCATTGTTGCATTTCGCCGCTCACAGCCTTCCAAAATGTCGTTCGCACGCTTAAATTACAGACGCCATTTTGCCAATTTGCTTCGTCTCTCAATCGACACGGAGCGTGATTGTACGGTGTCTTTAATTCAATGAATAATTCATGAGAGCTCGGGTTGTTCAAATTTGTGTAAATAAGTCGCTCCGACCAAGAGACGTGGATGTTAAAATGAGGACAGAGAGCCAGAGATACGAGTCTAAAAGCAAATTGAAAGAAAGTGAGGCGAGAATTCACGAGATATTTTGCAAATAAGTAGGCTCCGGCAGATAGAAGAGATAAAGAAAGTAAAATGATGTAGACTGGAAGAGAAGAAAAAGGAAAGTTGAAAATAGGAAGTAATACGAAAAATAGCGAGGGGAGAAAATGGAGGTTAAAAGGTGACGAGAATTTGCGAGACTATGTGTTAATATACTGAATCGCTCTAGCAGTAAAATGAAATTGGAACCGAAAGAAAACGTAGACGAGAAAAATACGGAAGAAATATGTACAGAGAAAAAATATGTTCGCGATTAAATAAATATAAATATGCACTAATTGTTTGGATAAAATCTAACCTGAATTCATCACAATTTACAAAAAGACGGAACTAAATTTAGGGTAAACCAGAGGAAGAAAAGAAAATAATAGATTTAAACAAATCCTACAATAAAGATACTAGAAAAGAGAAACAAAAGATTTGTGTGTTAGTATATACAGAAGACGTCGGAATAAAATGTGTGACATATTTAGGTATATAGGCAGCGCTAATTTAGATAACTAACAAAAAAAAAAAAGAAAATATGTACCGAAAAGAAAGATAAGAACAAATTCAGTCAATATGGAGGATATAACACGAGAGCTTGTTCAAGAATTCTCGAGAGGCTGTGTAAACAAGTGGCCCCCATAAAATAATGATGTCGGAAGATGTCTGAACAGCAACAGAGACAGAATAGATCGTAAGAAAATTAGTATTCCACCGTCATTGACGCAAATACAATATTTAGGTAAAATAGACGAGAAGAAAGGGGAATGTAGCCGACATATTGGAGAGCATAAAATAGGACAACATGGCGGAAGTTAAACGAGAAAGAAAGTGAAAATCTTTTCGATAATTGGGGAATCCAGGACGCCCTTTCAAAGAAACAACAGGACTGAAATTGAGGTATAGAAAGGCACTATATGTTGAAAATTAATAAATACAAAAAAAAAAAAAAATCACGGAAAAAACACACGAAATATTTGTGGGTTTGAAGGATATATATATATATATATATATATATATATATATATATATATATATATATATATATATGTAAGGTAAATGATAAAAATAGAAAAATATATAAAAATATGTATGAGAAAAGTAGATAAGAAAAGAGGAGAGTATTCAAATGATTTATTTACGTTAGCCACTTGAAAAAAAATTGCTGTGGATAGAAGTCAGGACAGAAGAAGGAAGATCATAAGTTAAAATAAAAAAAATAATAGTGTAAATCTTTGGTAAAATTAGTTGCGTCACTGAGATTTTGGAAAATACATCAAGCACAGTAAGAACAATATCAGTAAGCAAAAAAAAAAAAAATCACTGGGGACTAATCGAGTTATTGTGAGAATTCACGAGATTTTGCGTGAATAAAATTGTCTTGCGAAAGAAATGAAAAAAAAGAAAGAAAAGAAAGCCGTGTTAAGATATGTCGAAAAAAATGTAGATTATAATCACTGAAACAAATGTGAAACGCAAAAAAAAAAATTAGATAAGAATTTACAAAAATGTGCCAACGATGGAAAATGGACGAGAATAAAAACCAAGAAGTGCATCAGATTACTGGAAATAAAATTTAAAAAAAAACAAGTTTATAGAATCGTTAGTAAAAGAATAAAAATATTAAAAAAAAAAAGATGGAGGAATCCAGACGAGATTTAGGGCGAGATTTGGCGAGATGGTGAAATCCAAATGATATAGCAGCCACAAGAATCAAGTAAGAAACAGATTGTTTTAACAAAACCGCACTTAGAAACGAAAAAAAACAAAAAACAAAATGATTTTTAAATAACGTAAACATAATTTTCTGAAGTTCTCAAATAACCTGTTTTGATTTTTACATTAATTATTCAAAATGAAAGACTGAATGAGTAATCGGCGGACAGCATTCAGATTCTGAGATTCGCGTCTACATTCGCATAAATATATTAATAAAAGTATAAATTTATCCATCTCACTAGCTATCAGTTAAATAGAACAGACTGAACAGTCTCGTAACTTTGTCTTTGAGAAATACACGTCTGAATTCAAAACCTGCAATAGTTTCAAACACTCAACGTCCTCATCGCGCAGGCAGCGGTACTTCTACGGATTTTATGTGCAGTTTCTCTTCAGGATGTTGATGATCATGGCTCTCCACATTTTTCTGTTAGATAAATTTAATGCCTTAGACACTATAACCAGCGGAGCCCAATGGGTGAACGACAGGCTGGTCGGTCACGATTTTATAGGATATTTATTGCACATATTCATATTGCATAACAGGAGAGAATCATGAAAGAATGGTTTAATCTGTCATGCATTTCCCCATTATGGGCATTATTATATTCATGATATAATAACACCGTAGTTCACGGACTGAACGGAATGACTGAAAGAAAAAGGAATAGCAAACTTGGTTTGTTCTCAGAGAGAGTTGTATAATGTTACGTCGTACACAAAATTATATATACATATTGTTATGGTCCAAGTTTCTTGTAACACGGTGATGTCCAAGGTTAGAAGGGACGCATTTGTCTATGGACGAAATTGTTACGCATTTATCTTGGACTCAAATGTTATCAGAGGTAAGCTATTACCCAGCGACGCATTTGTCTTGGGACGCAATTGCCTGCTACGCAATTATCTGGGACGCAAATGTTATCAGAGTAAGCTATTATCCAGGGACGCATTTGTCTTGAGACGCAATTGCCTGCTACGCAATTATCTGGGACGCAAATGTTATCAGAGGTAAGCTATTATCCAGGGACGCATTTGTCTTGGGACGCAATTGCTTGCAACGCAATTATCTGGGACGCAAATGTTATCAGAGTAAGCTATTATCCAGGGACGCATTTGTCTTGGGACGCAATTGCCTGCTACGCAATTATCTGGGGCGCAAATGTTACCAGAGGTAAGCTATTATCCAGGGACGCATTTGTCTATGGACGAAATTGCGTGCTACACAATTATCTGGGACGCAAATGTTACCAGAGGTAAGCTATTATCCAGGGACGCATTTGTCTATGGACGCAATTGCTTGCAACGCAATTATCTGGGACGCAAATGGCCAGTACGTAACTGTTCGAGAACCTCAAAATTACGGTACTTAAGCAGTACTTAAAATGAAAAGTTAGGAGGGAAACTCCCATCGGTACTGGGAAGAGCAATAACAGCTACTGGGATTGATAAATCTATATATCTTCTAAAATGTTGAAACACAACACATTTTATACAGTTTGAAACAAAACCCATCATTTTGCCCAATTTGAATTACGATCTTTTAGTTTTTACTACGTTCTGTCCAACTGATAAGACTTTTCACTCTCAATACCTTTATTTCAGGCCATAATTATTCCTGTCTTGAAAGCACAAGGGAAGTTTACCTAATCAAGGGACTGGTTTCGAAACTCACAGGAAGGCAGTTTACTATATAATTTGTTCAATAACGTATCTTGACTCAACATAAATTATGCCACCAACTATGTACACGTCTTCAAGTGCGGATGCGGATTTAGTCAAATAACGTATATAAAACGGTAACAAGTAAAGCATCTATAGAGAAATCAGTGCATTTTTAACATTTCATTGGTCACCGTGACAGGTGAATTGTCGCAATAAATATGTATTGTAAGGCACTACCTACTGATTATTGATTTCTTGCTCAACTTTTCGTCCATCTTGGGTCATTTTGATCTTGCCGATATAACCTCCATTTTCTGGATTTCTCCTTCTATATTTTGGATAGGAGTCATTCCTTTGTTCAAATTTTAATTTAATTTCAATCAAGAAAAAATTCAGTAGAGGGTTTGTGCCACCCGGTTATCCCATTTGATCAAAATGAAATATAATTATCCAAGTACCCTGTGACCTCCTTCGATAAGAGTCATTCATTTGTTCAAATTTAAATTTAATTTAAATCAAAGGGAAAAATGTGCAGTGGAGGGATTGTACCCCTTGGATCTCCTTTGATCAAAGTGAAATATACTTATTCAAGTACCCTGGGTAATTTAGTTCGGAATGTATAACATTATCGAGGCCTATCTCCAAAACATAGGAGGAGTTCGATAACAAGCAAACGGAGGGTACAACTATATATATATATATATATATATAGGTAGATAGATAGATAGATAGATAGATAGATGACCAACTATATATTTTGATAGTAAAATGACAATAAGTACAACACTAAAACAGTATAAAAATATATTTCATAGTGAAATTATCAGCAAACATTAAAAAATATTATTTTATGATCTCCAAACTATATATGTAAAATACGTTTATACTGAAAGCATAAAACTATGTACAAAATATTTGAAGTTGAAAGTATAAAATGACGCACAAAATATTTAGATTTTGGCGTTAAATAACCCATAAAGGTGTTGATGTGTCGCTAAATTAAATCAGTGTAAGGAGAGCAAAATATTTAGAACAGAATCTACTAAAATTATTGACTAGAATATCTTGCCCCTGAACAAAGTCGATAATACCCCATAATGAATAATCTAAATGTTTGACATTATCTTCTCAATGATATGATTTCTCTTGAACAATTCGTAGAAAAGCTGTTCCCTTATAGGGAAGAATCGAAATCTGGCTGAAACTCGTCTGCTTTTTGTTTTGTTTTTTTTTTTTTTCATCGGGGAAGAGGATTTTCTCGCTTAATCGTCAGTTTTCTTTTTGACTATTAACTTTTTCTGCTTAAGTTGATTTAAAATTTTCCCGTCTTCATGTAGACGGCTGCCATATCTAAAAAAAAAAATAACATGTACCAAATTTCTCTTGTTATATCCCGAACTTAAGAAATTTTTTTCTCCAAAAGATTACAAGGAACAATAAAACTTTTTAAGTTTCCCGCTCATCGAATAAGTGACGGAGTGAACATCAAACAAAAACAAATCTGATTTTTTGTGTGTAAATTGGAAGGAAGAAATGTTCAGCGTTTTTTCTTCTTCGCGTCAAAGTTTAAGAAATCAAACCCGGCTATTTTTACATCAAAGTCATCTGTAGTTTAATTCTTTTAATCATTTTTTTAAAGACAACAGTATCTTTGTAACCGAACATTCTTTTGTGACGTACGGTGGGCATTAATAATTAAGTATAACTCAAGATTTCAATGTTAAGATAAAACAGTATTTAATTACAACCGTAAATATGTACTAAACAAGAACAAAGAAGTAAAATCAACCAAAACTAATTAACCATTTCAGTGAACACTTTGTTAGTAGCGCGCCTCGGCTTAACGTTCAGCAAATTCTAAATCAAAAAACCAAATCATCGACGCACAATAATTCATACTAATTCGACTGGATAGTTCCACTCAATAGTCACTCAATAATCACTCCAGTCAGCAGCCTGACACTGCTATCTATACATCTTGCGGAAAACATTATTCATAAGCCCACACTTTTAATCTCGGTGTCGGTAGTAACTTATTTTCTTCCGATATGACACATTCTAAAATTAAAAAAAAATTGACTATTAATTTACGCTATTTCATGTAAGTAATGTTTTTACATACAAAATTTACTGCGAAATTTTATGTAATAAAAAAAAACGAATCTTAATGTTTTGATTTAATAAGAAGCCAATTCCTAATCCGTCGACGTAATAACAAACCAATTCTTAATGTTTCGATGAAAATACAAAGAGGTTCCTAATCCTTCGATATGATAATAGATCGATTCCAAATCCATCGCTATATTAATAAACCGATTCCTAATCTTTCGGCATAATAACAAACTGATCATTAATCCTTCGATGTAATAAAAAACCAATTCCAAATCCGGTGATGTGGTAATAAACTGATTATTAATGTTTCGATGGGATACCAAAGACATTCCTAATCATTCGATGTCATAATAGATAGATTCGAAATCCCTCGGTATAATAACAAACCGATTCCTAATCCGTCGACGTAATAACAAACCGATCATTAATCGTTCGATGTAGTAATAAACCAATTTTTAATCCGTGGATGTGATAACGAACTGATTTTTAGTGTTTCGATGTAATAACAAAGAGGTTCCTAATCCTTCGACGTTATACTAGACTGATTCCAAATCCCTCGGTATAATAATAAACCGATTCCTAATCCGGCGACGTAATAACTGTAGAAAAATCACGTAGTCAAGATAAACACTCAGTTGTGGAACAAGCTAAGTGAATAATAATTGAACCTTGAGAAAGAGCTATTATGGTGCCATGGAGCATCTCATTGTGCTAAAGTGGGATAGTCCATTGCTTGGGCTGTAATTGGCTGAGTGGAGGTATTTCTATATAAATACCAGCTTGATTCATCAGTTAGTTTGCAGGGTTTGTATTAAGTTACAACCTGCTTTATTTTTGTCTGACAGCTGGACGCTAGCTGGGACCCTTCCGCCGGTAAGTGCTGTTTGTTATATTGTTACTCTACAATAACAAACCGTTTCTTAATCCTTCGATATAATAACAAAACCGATTCCTAATCACTCCTTACAATAATAAACAGATTCTTTATCCTTCGACTTAATAATGATCCTATTTCTAAGTTGAATGAAAGCATAGTCAAAAAATAATAATAACTTACAATAATGCCTTTTCGATATCCATAAAATTTATAAAAGTAAGATAAATAACATTGAAAGACTAACAGTAATAACAAACTAGAAATACTCGTTTGGTTTTGATTAGAAAAAGTTCATTATGGAAAAATTCAACGGTGGCTCCCTAACAGTCAATTCTAAGAAATAGAGCTGACAAATTTCGAAGGGATTTATCTATGTCAATATCTTTGCTTAAACGTTGTTTCGTATTTATTTTTATTTTTCTACAAAAAAGTTTCAGTGGAAAATGCTATAATGTCATTTCTGAACTTGGATCTCTGGCTTGAACCAGAAACGAAATGAGTATACGACAGAAATCAGAAGAAATGATCATAAATATTAATAACAATAAAAAGAGTAACAATGGAAACGATACAAGAATTATCAAAACCACGCAAGGTATAGTAAAGTTAACGACAACCTCTTGTTCCAAAAATGAATTGAAAAAAACATATATGTATAAATAATAAATAAATAAATAATAAACGTCCGAGAATAAGAACGAGAATATGCGATATAACGCGAGAACAAGAATTATACTTTCATACGCGTTTCACTAAAACGAAAGAGCCATGAATTCAAGTTAAAAATGAAAGACAAAAGGAAAAATAATAAAATATGTCGACAATAAGTATCCATATGCCCCCAATACCGCTGTGATTACAACGTTAATAGTAGAAATCAAAAGATGGTGAAGCAGGGTTTTAAGTGAATAATGTTCGAACATAATGCGCTTTATCAAGAAAATTAAGGGAGAATGGAGATATATTCTCACTTTTTTTTCTGGATATAGGTATTTTGTTAAATGTATGCAGAGGAAGAAAAGAAAAAAAAATGGGAGCAGACGAAAGAAATCGACGGCATACTGACCGGGTAAAAGGCAACTAAGATAACCAGACGAGAGAACGCAGGCGGCAGCACGTGAATTCGCGAGCAT